CCTGGATTCAGTATGATTTATTGATATGTTTTCCACACATTTAAAAGTTTTGTCATCCTGCCCTTGTTGTGTTGTGTTTTAAAGTATGATTTGTAAATGAAAACCTAATGTTTATTCAGCATGATGAGTGAGACTGTGTACACGTAAGCCTTTCAACTTGATAGGCTGCAAGACCATCGGATTGTGTCTCCTGTGCTTCATGAGGTCAGGAAGTGTTTGTCCTGTTCAGCAGTTATCTCTAGCTCAGAGTTGGACATGTACTTGTCCTTCAATGAAGTTTATACAGTGAGGGAGTGGATCAAGGCAGGACTTGAAATGACAGGGACATGACCAAGTCTGTGCAGAAGGGCAACACTGAGAGCCTCTATTTGCATTTTTCAAGGCTTAATCGGACATTCTGGCCATCTGTTATGGGTTTTGTCTGATAATTTCTTTTTTTGGTGTTTCTGAGACAGGGTCTCCCTGTAGCCCCAGCTGGCCTGGAGCTCACTATGTAGACCAAGCTGACCTTGAACTCACAGAGATCCGCCTGGCTCTGCCTCCATTCTGGGATTAAAGGAGTGCACTACCACGCCTGGCCCTGGAAATTTCTTAAAATGACAGTATGGAGTATGTTTTAGCTTCATTTCTGTTTCTGTGACAAAACAGTCTGACCAAAGTCAACTTATCATAGAGAAAAGGGTCTATTTCAACTACAGTTCATCCTTGAGAGAAGTTGGGCAAGAGCTTAAAAAAGCAGGCTTAGCCGGTTGTGGTGGTGCATGCCTTTAATCCCAGCACTTGGGAGGCAGAGGCAGGCAGATCTCTATGAGTTTACGGCCAGCCTGGTCTACATAGTGAGTTCCAGGACAGCTGGGGCTACAGGGAGACCCTGCCTCAAAAAGAAAGGGAGCTGGGCGTGGTGGCACTTGCCTTTAATCCAAAAAAAGAAAAAAAAAAAACGGGCTTGTTTGCTGCTCCACACAGCATTACCTCCTACCAAGGAGCTCACTCATAGACAAGGATGTATGGCAGGAACCACAGAGGATGCTGGTTGCTGGCTCAAAGGCTCCTGCTCAGCTAACTTCCTTACATAGCCCAGCACCACCTGTGTACAGAATAATACCACAGTGGGGTGAAGCCTCCTGAAACTTCACAATGAAGACAGTCCCCCACAGACATGCCCACAAGCCAATCTGATCTACGGAATTTCTCAGTTGAGGCTCTCAGGTGATTTCTAAGTTGTGTCAAGTTGACAGTTAAAGCTAATTAGGACAGAGTGCAAAATCCCATGAAATAACTCACAGTCTGTCTTTTTCTAAGCATAAAATTATGCATGCATTTGGCATTTATCAGCGGAGTTGCACTTTATCTACTATTTGCCATTTGTGGCTGAATAGGCTTAAAATCAGTCAGAATTTTAAAAGGTGGGGTGTGGTGGCACATGCCTATAACCCAAGAACTCAGGAGGCTGAGGCAGGAGGATCACTGCAAGTTCCAAGCCAGCCAGAGCTACACAGCAAGATCTTATCTCAAAAACAACAAAACAGAGCTGGAGAGATGGCTCAGTGGTTAAGAACATTGGCTGCTCTTGCAGAGGACTCGGGCTTGATTCCTAGCACCCACCCACATGGTGGCTAACAGCCATCTGTAACTCCAGTTCCAGGGGATCCAGCACAGGCATTACATGACATAGGTGCACTTACACACATGCAGGCAATATACTCATACATACACATAAAATAAAAATAATAAATAATTTAAAAAAAAAAACAAGCCTGGTATGGTGGCGCATGCCTTTAGTCCCAGTACTTGGGAGGCTGAGGCAGGCGGATCTCTGTGAATTCGAGGCCAGCCTGGTCTATATAGCAAGTTCCAGGCCACCTGGGGCTACAGGGAGACCCTGTCTAAAAAAGACAAAAAAATTTTTTTAGCTGAGTGTGGTGGCGCATACCTTTAATCCCAGCACTTGGGAGGCAGAGGCAGGCGGATCTCTGAGAGTTCAAGGCCAGCCTGGTCTACATAGCGAGTTCCAGGACAGCTGGGGCTGCAGGGAGACCCTGTCTCAAAAAAGACCAAAAGAAAAAAATTTTAATTAAAAATAAATAAACAGATAAAAAAGGATGTCACTAACACCTCCCAAAATCCTGCTCAGCTTAAGACCTAGTCATCACCCCTCTTTCCTGCCTAGTCATAACTACCACCCCAACTTAGAACAACATAGGTTCTGCCTGGTTTTAAACTTTTAGGTGGAGGCTGGAGAGATGGCTCAGCAATTAAGAGCACTGGCTGCTCTTGCAGAGGACTGGGGTTTGGTTCTCAGGACCACTTGTAACTCTAATCCAGGGGATCCAACATCCTCCTCTGTCCTTCTTGGGTACTGTATACACATGGTATACATACATACATACAGGCAAAACACTCATATATATAAAGTAAAAAACAAATATTTTAAAGTTAAACTTTATGTGAATCACACAGAGCATATTTTTTGTGCCTGGCTTCTTTTATGCCACATCCTGACCACAAAATTTACCCATGTTGTTGTGAGAAGCCGTGGTTGGCTCATTCCATTGATTCTCATTGAGTGAATAGATTCTAATTTATGTATCAGGTCTGCAGTTAATGGGCATTTAAGTTGTTTCCACTTTGTGGTTATTGTAAACATTCCACAATTCCAAAAAATTGTGTGTGAATTTTGGTGTACAAATGCACACAGCACAGTTGAGCCTGTATTTAGGAGTAGAATTGCTGCCATGGGGTGTCTGTGTGTTGTCTTAGCACAAAGAACAAAACTGTTTTCACATAGCTTGTGCCAGTTCACACGGCCAGTACCTGTGCTTTCAATCCTTGCTGACATTTGATGTTGTCGGTCTGTCAAATTTTAGCCATCATCATGCTATGTGACAGCTGTGACCACACTCAGTGCTTTTCTCGTACTAATGAGGTTGGACATCTTTAATGACTAGAAAACTTTTTGTGATACACCCCTTCAAGCATTCCGCCAACTTCTCTGTGGATTGTCTATTTAGTGTTCATTTGCAGGTACTGTTTTTCAATTCTGGATTCAAACTCTTTGCAGGTTAGGTATATTTCTAGTATCTTCTTCAACTCTGTGCCTCTCTTCACAGTGGCTTTTGATGAACCACCATCTGTGTGTGTGTGTGTGTGTGTGTGTGTGTGTGTGTGTGTGTGTGTGTTGTATATGCAGGAGTATATGTGAGCATGTGTGGAGGTCAGAAGTCAATGCCAAGATGTCCTCCTCATGTTGGATGTCCTCCTCAGTTACTTCTCTACTTTAGTGTTTGTGTGTGTGTTACCCGCGCACATGTTTGTGAATGTGGGTACAAGAGTACCACAGCACACATGTAGAGGTCAGAGGCCAACTTCAGGTGTTGGTTGTTATCTTTCCCTTGGTTTTGAGACAAAGTCTCTCTGTTGCTTTTTTCTACTGTATACACAAGACTAGCTGGCCTTCTGGGGATTCTACTGTGTCTGCCTTCTATTTCCCAGGAGGATCCTGGGACTGCAGACACCTGTGCTGTGCATCCAGGTTTTATGCGGGTTCTGGGGATTTGAATTTAGGACCTCCTGCTTGCCTGGCAAGTGCTTTTACCCACTGAGTCATCCCTCCAACGCCCAAGTCATCATTCTTTCTTTTTTTTTTTTAATTTTTGAGACAGATCTCCCTTTTCACCCCACCTAGCCTGGAACTCTTTGTAGACCAAGCTAGCCTCCATCCCCTAGAGGTTCGCCTGCATTCTTGCTTTTAATAAATGTCTTTGTGCCAACACTACAGACTTAATGTTAATACTAGTAAATCTTGAAATCCCTCAGGTCTTTCTCTTTCTTCAAGATTACTTTGTCTATTTTTAGTCTACTTCAGTTTCATAAATCTCAGCAACAGGTTATTAATGATCTAAGATTTTTGTTTAGAATTCTGTTACATCTTTACAGATCGATTTGGACAGAATTGAAAATTTTGAACTAGTATATGATTATGGTATATTTCTTCACTTATTTTAGTTTTTAGTTTTACCTATATGCATTTTGTACCATCTCATGTACAAGTCTTGCGAACTTTGTGGTAGATCTATTCTTTAGTGATGTGTGTGTGTGCAAGTATGTATATACATGTGTGGTTTTCTGTGTATATGTGTATGTGTGCCAGTGTGTGTGTGTGTGTGTGTGTGCGTGTGTGTATGTATTTAAGATAGGGCCCAATATATCCCACACTGACCTCACACTCCCTATAGCTGAGAACAACCCTGAGTCCTGATCTTCCTGCCTCTACCTCCTGAGTGCTGGGATTACAGGTGTGCAAACCCAGGACCTTGTGCCTGCTAGGCAAACACTCTACCAACCAAGCTACATCCATCCTCAGCCCCTTGTTTTGTTTTTAATTCTGTTGTTGCTGTTGTGGTTGGCTAATTTTGTTGATGGTGGTGGTGGTGGTTTTTTTAGACAAGATCTCACTACATCATCCATAATCAAACTCACGATACTCCTGCCTCATCTTCCCAAAATGTTGAGATTACTGGAGTGTACCACCACACCAGACTTTTTAAAAATTATTTTTTATGCTATTGTAAATGGTGTCTTTAAAATTGTTTTCTGGAAACCCTTACACTTTTTCTGTATACATCTAGTATACAGAAATATACTCAATGTTTTATATTTACTATAGTTCCAGTGCCCTTGATAAGCTTACATATTATTTATAATGATCTGTATGTGGCTTCTTCAGGGTTGACTATGATACCTGAGTGCTGACAGTATTGGTTTTTGTTTCTTTGATTTTTATTTGTTTGTTTGAGACAGGGTCTCACTATGCAGCCCTGGCTGACCTGGAACCACAGAGGCCCACCTGCCCTGCTTCCTGAGTGCTGGGGTTAAAGGCGTGTGGCACCTCGCCTGCTGTTAATTCTCTTCCAGTCTCCATGGGTTATTTTTCCCTTCAGGCATTCTACATTGACTCTGAGTCATTGAACCTAATGAGGTTTCCCCCTCTTTCCTTCCAGATGAGGCTGAGGCGCATATTGACTATGAAGACAATTTCCCTGATGACAGATCAGTGTCATTCAGGGAGCTCATGGAAGACTCTCGAGCAGAGGTAGAAGAGGAGAAGGGTCAAGAGGACGCCTCTGAAGAGACACCAAAACAAGATCGTCTGGTCTTCATTTCGGTGACAAAAGAAAACACAGCCCAGGAAAAAGCCTTTGTACCAACTACAGGCTTGCCTGGTGCTGGACACAGTGTCCACACAGATTGGCCAAGATCCCGACTAAATCCAAAGTACTCCCTCTGGCTTCCTGCTGAGGCTTTCCACAAGCCAGATTTGGAAAAGGAAGTGGGTGATGAGACCAAAAAGCTGTTTCCTGCCAGAGACAATCACAATGGAGGGAAACTGGCCCCAGGTGAGACTGAAACTAGGCTGACTTATGCCAGCACGGACAGGCCGTCAGAGCCATTTGTGGACAGGAATGACAGCAAGGCAGAGGACCCAGTGGTGAGCAGCAGCGATGATTCCTGGTTAGATGGCTACCCTGTGACAGATGGGGCCTGGAGGAAGGCAGAGGCGGAAGGGGAGGATGATGGGGACAAGGGGGATGGATCAGTAGGACTGCGTGAAAGTGTTCCTGTGACCCCTGACCAGCCCATTCTTGGGAAGGTTAATGAGCACAGGAATGCCACCGTCACCCCGAGTGAGTCTGTGATGCACAGTTCAATCAGTCCATCTCAAATGCTTGATGTAGAGGCTCTGGTTCCAGGACTCATGAATGTGTCTGAGACCGAGGGTCCCTACCCCAGGGATGGTGATTTGACTAAGTATCAATCATCCGTACCTCGGAGCGTCACCACCATACCCTATGAACTCCCCAACTCCACCCTGGAGCCAGTACCAACAACTGCTGTTCAGCAGATGTCTAACCACATCCCCTCAACTAACATGGAGGCCACCCAGCCTCCAGTGGAAACAACAGCTCCCGAGGTCCAAGATAGCTTCCCGTATCTGCTATCTGAGGACTCCTTAGGACAGGAGGGCCCTGGTGCAAGTGAGGAAGAGCTTCTTCCAACCTTGAAGCCATGTGTGGGAGATGAGTGTCCCAGCTTCAGCAGAGGCCCTGTGATCGCCACCACTGTCACTGTCCTGTGCCTGCTGCTGCTCCTGGCAGGCATGGGGGCTGTGTGGGGCTACCGCAGATGCCAGCACAAGAACTCTGTGTACAAGCTGAATGTTGGACAGCGGCAGGCTCGGCACTACCATCAGCAGATTGAGATGGAGAAGGTCTAGTCTCCATCAGCGTGGGCTCTTGCAAAGCCACTGGGAGGAAGATTAACTGTGATATATCACACTGATAATTCTCAAGAGCAGAGGTGGAAAGGGCTCATCCTTTTAAAGTTCAAGTCTTTTTTTCTATAGGCTGAGAAGTGTCTCTGGAGGCACATAGTGGGACAAGAAGGGTTTGGTGGCATCAGCACACATGTCAATGTTAGCTCGACCACCTACCCCGGACCTCTACTTTTGGCTTAATGCCAATATAAGGGTTTTTGTTTTTTTGAAATTACCTCTTCTTTCATCCAACTATTGTCTTTTCATTTTTAAAGAAAGAAAATCACCAACTCCATGCTCTGGATTATTTGAACTAGTTTTAGGGCCATGCATTTGAGGGCCATGTTGATAAACCACAAGCTTAAGGGCCATGTTGCTAAGGCATAGATATTCAATTGTGGAGCAGGACATGGAAGAAAAATGAGTTATTCCCTTTTAACATAATGTTGTTGAGGACGAATGGTGTCAAGAGCCAGGACACAGTTTATGAACTTTGGAGTTTCTTTTTGTTTGTTGGAATTGGAGAGTTTAAGACTGACATTTTGCCTTGGAGTACAAGGAATGAAGAGACATGCCCACCTCTGCTCCCACCATTGTGGGACAGCCCGTCATTTTCTTCTAAAACCAAGGTGACTTTTGTACCAGTGAGACATTTTCTCAAGTTGTCCTTGCCTGGCCTGGGCCTACAAATGTCTTTGAATTTCTGCCAGGGTCAATAATGAAACTCAACTCTTAGTTTCCTCTCTCAGGGCTAATTGTTTCTTCAAACTAAAATAAGAAGGAATGATACAGAAGGAAAGAATGTTTAAAGAAGGCCAAAAACTGGGGTACCAAGCTGGGTATCCACTTGATGGAGAAGAGGAGGAATTAAAATGGATGTAGAATGACCTGGACTGATCTGTTCCTCACTTGTGTGAGGAATCCATCCCAGCCATGTCCCATCACCTCAACCATTGGATGGTGACTCAATGTATGTTGTTTAGGACAGTAGCTCTGGAAAGTGGTTCTCAGACTACCACCAGCAGTTCCTGGGGCATTTGTTGAAGTTGTAAATTCTTTAGTCTCATCCAGTCTCAGGAAGTAGAACCCTAGGGCAGGGCCAGCTCTGTTCTAACAGACCCTCCAGGTAAATCTGATGTACATTCAAGTTGAGAGCCATTGGCTTCTGTCATCCATTGTGAGTTTGGGGCCAGGGGAAGGCCTGGAGACACGGGTCATGAGTAGGACACGTGCCTGCTTGAAGTCCACATCACCACTTGCATGAGAGGCAGTATATAAAGCTGCCCAAGTGACACCTCCAGCCATCTCCAGGATGTTAGCCCAGAAGTAAACACTTCATATTTTTCTATCTGAGTCACTTTCTTGGAAGTAAATCTTCAGAGGTGATAAAGGTCATACATTTATTCTGAGACACCATGGAAGTGTCTATTTTTTTGTGGCACAAGAAATCTTGCTGTATATATGTATCTTACAATTGAAAACTGAGTGGGCTGGGGATTGACTCAGTGATACAGCATTTCTAACAGGTAAAAAGCCCTGCATTCAATCCCCAGCACTGCAAAAAAACAAAAAACAAAAGGAAAAAACAGTGATAGTATTTTACCTAAGGAAGAAGAAAGTTCTCACAATGTGTTTTCTACTCTGTCATTTGTTTGATGTAAGCTTTGGGGAAATAATAGACTGAGCAGCTACAAAGCAGCACAGTGTAATCAGAGTTCTTAATCACCATCATTGGGTCAAATGAAGGCCTGAAGGAAGCAGCTGGAATACCTACGCACCAACTGAAATGTGGAATAATAGGAAGAAGTGCTTTCTGCATGTAGCCAAAGCAGAACACAAGGGAACAAACCCAGAGACTGTATATATTTTTTAATTAGAGTCTAATCTATTGTGAGATAATGTTTCTATTTTTATTAATAGCTATATAAAATAATCTCTGTCTCAACATGAGAATTCTGTGAGTAACTGTTATTAACCCAGAACACTGAATTTATACCAACATGTAGACAATATTAAGACATGTGTATTAATAAATCTATTACAAATTATTAATACAGCAATGTATTCTTTTGAAAACTTGGATTAGCTCTTAAATTTTACTGATTTGCTATCATCTAAATTAATGAGATAAAATATAAAACTGCATGTTCAAAGACATGAGTAACATCCTAGAAACCTAAGTTCTTTGTCACTGCACGTGTTTTGAGTCAATGTTCAATGTTCCTGAAAATGGAGGAGGAGAGGGTTTCATTAACATAAAGCTTCTGATATATTTAAAATAAACAATTATTTCCCCCAAACAGTTACTGAATATATTTTATTTCTGGATTACTCTACCATTTTTTAAATCTGAGTGCATGCGTGTGTCTGTCTGTCTGTCTGTCTGTCTCCCCAGGAGTCTCCTGGCTCCTGACTCCGGTCTTGCAGTAGGAATACTGGGATTACAGATGCATTCTACTGTGTCTGGCTATATGTGGGTTCCGGGGATCAATCTTGAGTCCCATACTTGTACTGCAAGTGCTCTGCTCACTAAGCCATCTCCCCAGCCCCACCATGATATTTTAAAAACTATTCTCTAGTAATCTTGTGTGAATGAAAGTTCCCCGAAAAAAAACCTACATCTTTAACTGAATCGCCTGCAAGGCTGGTTAACTGATTATCACTTCAATGATTATGGAGAATTTGGAATGCTGCAGGTCCAAGAGCCAAACTAAAACTTATCTTGAGCTGTCTTTAGCCCCCTAAATAACCATTCCTTGCCCACCTTTGTGTCTGACTTAACATCCTGTGACTAACAGATAAAAATCTTTTGGAATGTATTAACTTAGCAGACCACCTGCTTCCACCAACCAAAAGACTGAGTGTCATCAGGTAGCATCTGAGGCCTAGAGCTGAGATGTCTCTTTCACTGTAAACTGTAAGGGCCTATTTAATCTTTCCACCAATGTATTTGAAAAGTAGTCCTGTTGTATGACTTTTCCTTCTTATGTTACTATAAAAGGCTCCATGAAACTGGTTCACGTTGGAACATGGAATTTGGGGTAGCCTGAGTCTGTTTCTGGGCCACAGTCACTCATATTTGGCTCCAGAATGAACTATATCTTATCCTCTTTAAGGTGAGAACTGTTTTGCTTCAACACTTGAGAATAGTCTCAATACTTGCTATATTGAACATGGTTCTCTCTAACCCAAACTTCACCTGCATTACCTCCTGCTGCAGATTCTCAGGAAGTCTTCAGTGCTCTCGCCTGGTCTTGGCAGATCCCTCTTCCCTCTATCTTCCTCACCCCAACCAAGGAGGAATGCAGAGAATGTGTTAGAAGTGTAGAACTTTGGCCTGCCCTAGACCAGCTGAACCAGAGCCTGCACTGAGCAAGATGCCCTGGAGAGGGGTGCATGGAGAGGTTTACGAGACCACAGCTGAATACCCCTCCTCTCAACAGATAGACTCACAAAGGAATAACTCAAGAGGATTGGATGGAGGAACCGTTCACAAATGTGTGGGTGAAGAGAAACAGCAAGGGTTGGTGGAGCACCGAAGGACGGGGAACTCAGTGACAGGATCGGCAACAGGAAGGACACTGCAAGATGCACTCTGGCCTTGGGGGGATGCCGCCACTAGCCAGCTGGGACCTGAAGCATCTGGGGTAGTAAAGACCCAACTCTCACTCTACAGTCTTCAGCACATATGTCCCATTGCCAGCAAGAAGTCAGAGTGAAGGAGCACAGGCAGCATACACCATAGGGGTAAGGAAAGGGAGGAAAAGTGATCCAGCAGGGCTGTGGTGGGTGTGCGAACAGAGACCATTAGCAGCATGCCATCTCCCTTATTTATGCTCCTTTGTATGTGCAACCACCAGGGGTCCATGACTCCTAGGCATCAGACACTGTAGATCTCCCTCCCAGGTCTCCTTCATTGGGCAGGTGCATCTCTCGCAGATGCTCTGAGTGGCCATCACTAAAATACTCATAAGTACCTACTGCACCCTCACCCAGGAAGTGAGACCTGTCTTCTGCCCTGTTGGACAAGTTGTCATGGAGATACAGCAGGCCCATCTCCCTGCCTATGAGACCAACTCTGGTGTAATCCATGCTCCAGGGCTCCCAGGAGATCCAGTCACAGCTGTTCCAAGTAAGGACATATCCTTATAGCTCCCTCCCTTTACACACACCCCTTCTCCTGAGAGCACTCCATCACTTGCACAGGCTTCACGAGAACCAAGGATAGGGATCTGATCAACATTCACACTCTTTTTCCCAGGACACAAGGCAAGTCTAAACAAGAACAACAACATCAACAATAATGATACAACTGATTTATTCTATCTTATCAAATTATAGTGGAATAATACTAGAAACCAATAGTATGAAAAAACCGTATAAACACACAGAGGTTGAAGAGTACACTTGATTGATCAGGTCATTGAAGAAATGAGGTAAGAAATAAATTCCTAGAATCAAATGATAGCAAAAGTTCAATCTTCAGGATATAGCAAAGAAAAGAGTTTACAGCTATGAATGCTCACATTTAAAAAACCCAAGAGGGAGCTGGAGAGATGGCTCAGTGGTTAAGAGCACCTGCTGCTCTTTCAGAGGACCTGAGTTTGGTTCCCAGCTCCCCCATCATCACTCACAACTGCCTGTAACTCCAGCTTCAGGGACTCCAACACCTTCTGGCCTCCAAGTGCACTTGCACAAATGAGCACAAACACACACTAAATAAACAAATAAATAAAAAGAAGGGATATGATGGCACACACCTCTAATCCCAACACTCAAGAGGGAGAGGCAGGTGGATTGCTATTCAAGGCCAGCCTGGTCTACATAGTGAGTTTCAGACCAGCTGGGATTACAGGGAGACCCTGTCTCAAAACAAAACAAAAACAAAAATTTAAGAAGTAAAAAACTTAAATTAAATTAAAAATAAATCTTTTAAAAATTAAAGAGGTCGAGGTTGGAGAGATGGCTCAGCGGTTAAGAACACTGGTTGTTCTTGCAGAAGACCCGAGTTCGAATCCCAGCACCCACATGGCAGCTAACAACTGTCTGTAATTCCAGTTCCAGGAGATCCAATGTCCTCTTCTGTCCTCCACAGGCATTACACCACACGGGTGCACTTACCTACATGCAGGCAATACACTCACACACATAAAATAAAAATAATAAATAAAACATTTTAAAAAATTAAAGAGGTCCCAAATAAATAACTTAGTGATGCACCTCAATGCTGTTTTAAGAACAAGCCAGCCCTCAGCTTCCCTGGGCTGCACAACCTGCCAGCCTCTGTCCTGGGAGCCCTCTGGGCCTGGTCCCGCCCTCACCTCCCTCTGCTTCCCTAGGCTGCACAACCCACCAGCCTCTTTCCTGGACACTGGGCTGACCTCTAGGCCTGGAACCACCACTGCTTTCTGATCCTTTGCATCCAGACAAACCCAATTCCTTCTTGCGGTCTCCATGAGCCCTCTGCGCCTGGTCCCCCCTCACCTCCCTCTGCTTCTCTGGGCTGCACAACAATAAACCAAGGAGGTATTACAATCATGAACATATATTCACCAAACGGGTGCACCCAACTTCATAAAAACAATACTACAGGACTTTAAGTCCCAGATTAATCCCAATTCATTAATAGTAGGGGACTTCAACACCCCACTGTCTCCATTAGATGACGGTCAACAGGGCAGACAGTTAACAGAGAGTCATCTGAATTAAACAATACTATATATCAAATGGACCTAACAGACATCTACTGAGTATTGCACCCAAGCACCATAGGACATACTTTCTACTCAGCACCCCATGGAACCTTCTCCAAAATCGACCATATCCTGGGGCACAAAACAAACCTCAGTAAATACAACAATATTGAAATACTTCCATGCATTCTATCAGACCACAATGCAATAAAGCTTACAACCAACACCGGAAGAAGCACTAATCACTACATGAACACATGGAGATTAAACAACACACTCCTGAATGATGAATGGGTCAAAAGAG